AGGGGTTAAACGAGGAGCAGGAGGAGGTGGAGGAGGGTCGGAGAGCAATGAGATTCCAGACGAGTCACCTGATACCTTTCTCGCGTTTCTCGCGGAGGAGCGTCATGAATAAATTATCGAAACACTTTATCGCGGCGATTATCCGCCATTACGACGTATTTTCCCTTTATTTCCCATCCGCGTTTGTCGAATCGACCGATGGATCGGCGTCGCATCTGTTCCCCCGCGCGTGTAACTCGTCGACGGTCTCTTAGGTCCCGTATGACAAGAAAGACGTCCGTTTTGTCCGCAATTTTCAGGGGCCATTACGCAAAATTAGTCGAGTTTCGTGCCAGGACGAGCGAAACACGGTTATTTCATTGATTCGAAAATTGATCTTAATAACGCATTCTTGGGTGGACTGGCCGATTGGAAGGGATACGGGGACCTGGAAACGCTTCCTCGAAAAGTCCCGCGCGAGGTGGACGGCTTGAATATTTTATTTAAATTCCCCCGGCCGGTGAAATATCGCCGGCATCGCGTCGCTATAAAATTCACCTAGAGATTCATGAATGGGATTCGGCAGTCGTTCAACGGGAACCCGGCGGAATTTACTTTCGGTACCTGGCTAATTTTTAGATGCGTGAAATGCATGGTATCGTCGGGATAAAGGGTTGAGGGTTTTTTTTTTAGAAGTTCGAGGGGAATTTGAGTTAAATGTATTTATATTCGTGCGGAATTTATATAGTTACGATTTGTTTATACTCGACAATTCGGAGAAAAATATAAATAACAGTGAGTCAACGAAACAATTGATATAGTAGGATTAAAACAAACCGTCATTATCGTGTAATTTCATCAAAGTAATAACACTGAAATAAAAGTCAAATGTAATTCGATAGATCGACGTCCAGCCATTAATTATTCAACAATAGAAAAAAACGACTACCGGCTAGGGACGTTTCCGTGTAATGTGACATCATGGAAATCAAAGATTCAAAGCGTTCTCGTCATAACCATTTACCGTTGACACCGTCTGCATCGTTCAGTCGTTGTCAGTACGCCGGTTGCATCGACAATGCGCCGTCCACCGTGGTGGAAAGATATCGTGTGGCTCCAGTAGCCGGAAACCATCGTTGACGACGTATTAAATGTAACCAGGGGCCCATTATTACGCGGTGTCACTAATCGATAGATCATTTTCGTTTAGATTCTCGGGGATTATTCGGTGAACGGCGACGCCTCACGTGCGGAGGAAGTCGCTATTGGAACGCGCGTGAGAATCGGACACGTTTGAATACCAATCGGGCCCTTTTCCCGAATAGCTCGTTACCAACGAACGATTTGACAGTCCGATGACGGCGCGGACAACGTTTACCGGAATAAGAAACGCGACGGGCGATTTTACGCTTAGAATTCTCGACGTACCGCCGTCAATAACGATCTCCAGGCTCGCGTGACTTTTACATAGTTTCTAAAGCGATGGTTCTTGGATCTGATCTTCTGAGATTTCTCAGATGGATTATTCATAACTGAGAGTTCTGTTTGTTATCACGTTCTAAGCGATATTCAGTACACTATGTTTGATTAAATTTAGTACTATTGTTATTTATGTTGATTTATTCATTTCTTTATCATTTATTTTGATTTATTTATTTCGCTATTATTCATTTTGATTTATTCATTTCATTACTATTTACTTTGGTTCATTTATTTAATTATTATTTACTTTATTCAAGTTTCAATAATTAGAAAAATACAGATGCTCTTCTAAATAACTATTGAATTCAGGGATTTACCAATGAGTGCTCTAAAGTGCAAATCAATCGAAATCTCAATAAATGCACTGTTCTAATTTGTATGAATCAAAACCGATCGATTTGACTGCTCGGTGGTTCTAGTCCGTTCACCGTGACAAATGAAAAATTCTAAATGGAATGCAAGGTGCACAGGCGATTTTGAACAGTTCAGAAAAGACCGAAGACGGAAATTCCTGCAGAAGCGCGATAAAAATGTTCGTCCCTCGGAACTGGCTCACGAGGGCGACGGTCGTGTCGGCAAGGAGGAGGAGATCGGCCGGGCAGATTCGGCCCGGGTTCCCCGGAGACATTTCTCGCATTTCGTGGCGAGCCGCGGACACGTGTTGCCGACACGGTTTTATTGGGATTCGCAAAATTTCTGCGATCGGTCTCGTCCAGCGAAAAATCTGATCCCCGCTGGATACGACTGCGTCCCGGCAAACGACCACAACAATTCTTTTCGTTTTTTTATTGTTTCCTGTCCTTTTTTCTTCAATTTTTCTCTTCGATACCAGAGATTCGCTGATTAAATTTCGAATTTGAACAAATAAGCGTTTTATCGAAACCAACGGTACATTTCGATAAAGTCTGACCTATAATTGAAAAATATTTCGTTAGTTGTAATAGTTGTAATTTTGAGGAGAAAAAGGTTTTATTCTGTTATCATTTTGCTTCGAGTAGGTCAATTTAGAATATATAAAGATTTGAGTATTATTTGTATTTTGTATACGAATGAATCGAATTTATTGTTCGTTGAATATATGTGATTTTCGGATAGTAGAATATTTATTGATCGATTATGTTCTATATTATAATATAAACAGTGATGTATTAAATATTATGGCGTAAATATTAATGTAGTAAATATTTAATTGGGTCACAACTTCCAATCCCTATAGTAGAAACATATCGTTCTCTCCAAGTTTCTTAAATAAACAGAAAAATGGCCGCTACTATCAGTGAGTAACTCGGTTCCAATGATAATTTGGATGGGCCACGCAATCGGGCTGAAATTATCTAAACAGCCCACTGTTAGAGTATAATTATCTCCTAATTAATAGCGCATTACTGTTATATGGTCTATTACGTGTACGGGATGTCGAATTATCGCTCTCATTAACTGTGACACAGTTTTTTATTATCTCAAACCGGAAACCAATCCATTTCGTCTTATCTCCGTGGAAGTCACAACCTTCGATCTACTCTTCCGAATTTTAGAATTACTTTCATAATTACATTAATCATTACTGAAAATACAATTCTTTAAAATAAATGTCACTCAACTCTTAAGTTCAAATAAAATACCATTTCACTGTCATTAATTATTGCATTGTAAAATTAATGTAAATGCAGATGAACATAAAATTCATCTTCGTTTACAATAAATTATTAACGCGTTCTCTAACCTACGCAAAATGCCATACGACCCCAATCCCAGTAACATAACGGTCAAATCGATACTTAGCAAGTGATTCCAACGTAACGAAATTATAAAAAAGAATCGTAAACCAAA